CGCCTGGAGCACAGCGAGCGGCAATTCCGCAACCGGCGGAAGGTGCTGATCCGCGGCTTACCGGCGGATGTGACCAACCAGGTGAGGGGGGAACCGGGAACGGGATGGAGAACGGGCTGAGGGGAAACCGGGAGGAGGAACGGGAATGGGAACGCGGGCACTGAGCGGGGAACCGGGACCAGAGCCCCAAATCCATCCCGGATCTCTCCTTCCTCCCGAACCTTTCCCTGCTCTGCTCCAGATCCCGTTTTTATACCCCAAAAATCCCGAATTCCCAAAAAATCCGCCTGGAATTCCCGGCTGGAATTCCCGCAGCCCCCCCGGGTGCGTTTTTCCTTTGCCGGTCCCGGTCCTGGGGTGAAATCATCGCCCTGAGGCCGAAGGTTGGGAATTAATTGGGGAAGGGCAAAGGATGGAGCTGGAGAAGCCGGTCTGGGAGGAGGAGGAAGAGGAGGAGGAAGAGCCGGAGTTTCCCCGGGGTGTCCCGAGGGAATAAACCCTGAGATAAAACCTGGAACGTCAAACTGGGGACACCGCCAGGATCCTGACACGGCCCAGGGAAATTCCCGGGAATTCGGGAGGGCCGGGAGTCCTTGGAAAGGGGAGGGTCACTGGGAAAATGGGGTTTGGAAAAGGGAAGGGTCTTTCCTTCCCTGTGAGCCCCACTCAATTTTCTCCCATTTCCATGAAAATCCTGATTTTTTTTTTCAGGATATCCATGAGCTGCTGAAGGATTACGAGCTCAAGTATTGCTTCGTGGACAAGTACAAGGGAACAGGTGAGGAGCAGCCCTGGGGTTTGGGGACCAGCCCTGGTCCCTGGGAAATCAGGGAAGAGGGAACAGCCCAGGATGCTTTTCCTGTTCCTCCCCAGAGATGCTTTTGAATTACAAACCCCCTTTTTCCAGGAATTCCTTCCTTTTCCCAAACCCCATTTCTCCCGGATTCCTCCCCATTCTCAGACTCCTTTTTCCATTGGTCCTTCCCCTTTTCCAAACCCAGTTTTTGGAGGAGTCCTCCCCACTCCCAAACCCCATTTCTCCATTAACCCTCCCCATCTCCTACCTTGTTCCCAAACCCTTTTCTCCTCCATTCCCAATCCCGTTCCCAACCCCATTTCTCCCCCATTCCCAACCCCATTTCTCCCCATTCCCAACCCCATTCCCAACCCCATTTCTCCCCCCATTTCTCCCCATTCCCAACCCCATTTCTCCCCATTCCCAACCCCATTTCTCCCCATTCCCAGCCCCATTCCCAACTCCATTCCCAGCCCA